CGTCTGCTCACAATGGAACGCTACACGAGGAAGCGTCACTTCCTCGTCTACCCGAGGAAGCGTCACTTCCTCGTGTAAGGAAGGCGAGAGGAGTCAAGTGACGCATTCAAGTGCGCTCAGTTTGGTTGAGAACCGATTTTCGGTCGTAATCATAGGCATAAAAAAACTCGAAATTTTTGGTCGAAAACTGATTTGGTCGAGAACAGAGACGTTCGAAAACCGAGGTGTGACTGTGTGTGTGTGTGTGTATATATATTATATATATATATATATATACACACACACACACGCACACACACACACACACAGTATATATAATTTTTTATTTTTTCCGGAATTTTCAGGAAAGTCCACTTTCATCTCTGTTAAATGTACAAAAAAGTCCATTGCAGCCATCGTTTAAAATTGACAGGAAGTGAGCTATGAATTTTAAACAGGAAATGAGCTGTGAATGAACAATTCGGCCAATTTTTGCACATTTAAAGGAGTCATACTTCTGTGCACTTGTCTTAGAGGATTCATCCGACTGACTTCAAACTCTACCATCTTCCCACCTGGGACAACAATTTGGAAAAAAAAGTTTTCGAAATCCTATATGATGGGGACGGGGCATCAAAATTTGCATCTAATATTTATTTTGCCACAAAGGAGGAAATGCTTTTTGCTTAGTCCCCTCCACTTGCTCCCCCAAAAAATCCCAAACTTGACATGTATATAGTCGCGTCCTGAAGAGATCTATGTGGTGAAATTCTGTTACCCATTTGGCACCACCTAGTGATGACTAGAAATGTCTTTTTTTTTTACATTTTCACATACTGCATGGAGCCTGTTGAATGAATCCAACTAAATAATCTGCCAGAAAAGCTTCAAGTTGTCGATCATGCTCTACACCAATCATTGAAACTTTTGGCAAAAGGTGTGCCCTCACCGTGTTCCAAGGTCTTATGATTAACCGTGAATATGAATATTGCTGTAACTTGAGACAGATGACCTTATCTTATCCAAATTTCACTTCGTTGATTTAAGTCTAGGCCCGTGTAGTGGTCGCACCACCTACAGGAAATAAATGTTTTATTCTTTGACGTTTTCCTCTCGGGGGGGGGGGG